TGGGACTTTGAATAAGTTATTTTCTTTCCTTTATGACCCTTTATTTTTCTGTTTTCCGCACTACTTCAATATTTCATAAGAAAGCAACAACTGTATATACATATCACATTGTTTTATAATTGTGGATTTATTAACTTTTCTTCTTCCAGTGAGCTACCTGAAAGTTCTACCATTTTCAACCATGTTTCCTTGGATTAAAAATATCCAATGTGACCTGGATCAGATAGTCAATGAAAAACCACCAAGTAAATCTGACATGAAGCCTGTAAGCAGGCCCTTATGGAGTCCCTTCCCTGTCCAAAATCAGGCCTGGCTTGCTCATTCTCAAGCTAGTTCATTGTCAGTTACTGGCAAATGTTGCTGGGGCTTAGAGAATTTTTCCCAGCCAGTTGGGAGGTCCCTAAGCCCCTGGTAGAGAGGATCAAGTATAGAAAGAGGACCACAAAAGCCAATTACGGCAGGAAAGTGAAAGAAGCTCCTTCTGCCATTTAGCATTTAATAGAACTGTCAGGGTTGTGACTGGGGACTCAGCTCCAGGAGGATCTCCTTGTCCAGCAAGTTTACTGAGTAACCAAAAGCAGGCTCCTTTCCACCTGCTTTGAACAATTATCTTGTCGAAACAACAGGCAAAATGATAGAAGCACAAAGATTTATTTTTAGTTAATCAGGATCATTTTATCAATAATAATAATAATAAATACTATAATATCATAGTCAGGCAAAAACTGTGAACAATAATCTGGGCTCTGGGTCACCAACTGAGTCTCTGGATGAAATCCAGGGGATGGGGCCTCAGGTAGAATGCAAGAATGGTCAAAGCTTCTTTTAATGTTCTAGGCTCCCCGAGGAAATACCTCCTCACCTGGGGTCTGATTCTCTCAATCTCCTTCAAATTTCCAGTTCCTTGTTTTGCTCCTTGTTCCTTTCTGATACTTTTACAACCCCAGCAATCAGAAAGAGACACACAAGGTCCCTCATATCTCAGGACAGTGTTCGTCTTGGAGGTGCCTGTCCCAGGGGTCAGCTGGGTACAATGCATACCTGCAGAGGGACAGCTCATTCATGGGAAGCTCTGTCACTGACTTTGTCTTACTCCCCACCTGGGAATACGGACCTGCAAGGATCTGGTTCTAGAAGCTTTGCCGAGGAGGCTGAATGCACCGGCCAAGGGAAGCTTTACAAAGCACTAATGCACAGCTACAAAGATAGATGTCTGATTCAGATATGTTAAAGCTCCTAGGACAGTTCAGAGAAAATCAAACCTGGATTTTCTTTGGAAACAACATATCTCAGAGTAAGATTTTCCTCCTAATTACTATAAAATGGGTTTTCTAGCATTGCAAATTACAATTGGAGGTAGATGATGGGGATGAGATCTAAGATGAAGAAACCCCCAAAGCAGGGCATGTCACTGCTTGACACTCAGTGACAGGATGTAACTGGGGAGCTTGAATTTGGGTATGGGTGGCCAGTGGGGCATAGCTGAGGAGCAGAATGATGGGGATATTGGCGCTGCTCTTGGCACAAGAGACTTTCCTGTCTCCATTCCACTGTGGGATGGACTACTCACAATCTCCACCCTTCTGTCCCCTACTGCTCACTGCCCTGTGACTTCCTGGTCCTGAGTGGCCTCTGCAAGGCCTTCTGGAGAGGAATGCCTGCATCACAATTCCTGACACACTGCCGTCTTCAGCAACTCCTGCCCACTTCTGATTTGAGTAAGTTCCAGTTTCCTTTTGCTGTGACCTCCTCTCTCTTCTCTCATGCTCATCTGATCTTTACTGGAGAGGCCAGCAAACAGGCATTTCGTCTCTTCAGTAGGTCCTCTCTCACGCTTACCTTGCCCCTGTGTCCTAGTCTCCTTTCTCGATCCCTCAGAGGCCTCCGAGTCACTCTGCCTTTCTCAGGACTCCCTGGCCAAGCATTCATGGTCTCCCGGGCACTGCCCACCTTGCCTCCACACCACAGCTGCATCTAGGCTCCACCCTGACTAAAGCTTATGTGTGCCTGCACAGCCTGGAGGCTTCCTAAGGGCCAGGGACGGTCTGCTCGGAACCCTTTGCCCTCATCTTCGCACGTTCACATTCTATCAGTATGGAAGAGTAAAAAGCAAAACCAAAACACCTTAAACAATAGGAAAACAAACTGATGAACATGTTACTTAGCCTGATTTAATTACCTTGCACTATAAGCATCAAGTTGTACCCCATAAACATATAAAATATGATATATCTGTTAAAATAATATTAATAAAAACCCTTACAGTCTCTTTTAACTCATCTGTCCCATACAGAATGTTCTTCCCTCCTGTCAACATCCATAGCACTTGGCACTTTCTGAGTAACTGAGGGTCCTGCTTCAGTGTTCCTACCAGCATTGAGTCCCCAGAGCAGGATTTGTGACTAATTTGTCTTTGTACCCTCCAAACCTTCCCCAAGGCACCATTAATTTGAATGATTTAGCACAGGAATGAATTTCTCACCTGCGACTTGGCAATTAATTGTCACATTCGCTCCCTGCACTGTTTTGACGGTGCTTCCTACGTCCACAGTGACTGCAGGCTTCTCTGTGTTGACCACGGTCATTCGCGATGTTTTCACCAGCGGCTTTCCTGAAGATGGGAAAGAGCATGAAGTGTCACTTGACAGCTATGGCTGTGGGGCATTTTGTTGAAACACAGGAAAACCAATGAAAATTGTCTCTGCACAAGATAAATTGTCTACCCACTCACTGACCTGCCTTCCCTGGAGCTCTCAGAAAAAGCAAGGATTGAAGAGTCTGAAGACAGCACGGTACACCAACTGGGATGATTGATGCATTTTAATCATTAAATTAATAAGTGACTCTGGAGGTTACACTTTTAGGGTTTAGTTTTTAAATTTTTTTGAGAAAATTGTCAAGTCACATTTAGTTATAAGAAATAATGCAGGGCTGTGTCCCTGTAGTATGCTGTTTTTAAGTCCTTTGGATATAGACCGAGGAGAGGGACAGCTGGGCCAAAGGGTGGTTCCAATCCCAGATTTCCAAGGAATCTCCATGCTGCTGCTTTCCATATTGGCTGCACCAATTTGCAGTCCCACCAGCAATGTGTGAATGTGCCTTTCTCCCCACATCCTTGCCAACACTTACTATGTTTGTATTCTTAATAGCTGCCATTCTGACTGGAGTAGTTGTGATTTGCATTTCTCTAATTGCTAGAGATGATGAACATTTTTTCATATATTTGTTGATTGATTGTATATCACCTTTTGAGAAGTGTCTGTTCAGTTCCTTGGTCCATTTATTGATTGGGTTTCTTTTTTCTTTATTGGTATTTAGCTTTTTGAGTTCTTTATATACTCTAGAGATTAGTGCTCTATCTGATGTAAGTGTGGTAAAAATTTGCTCCCATTCTGTAGGCTGTCTATTCACATCACTGATTATTTCTTTTGCAGAGAAGCAGATTTTTAGTCTGAATCCATCCCATTTATTAATTCTTGATTTTAATTTTTGTGCTATAGGAGACTTATTAAGGAATTAGGGGTCTAATCTGATGTGATGGAGATTTGGGTCTACTTTTTTTTCTATTAGATGCAGGGTCTCTGGTTTAATTCCTAGGTCCTTGATCCACTTTGGGTTGAGTTTTGTGCATGGTAAGAGATAGGGGTTTGATTTCATTTTATTGCATATGGTTTTCCAAGCACCATCTTTTCTCCAATACATTAATGTTTATTGCAGCACAATTCACAATAGCTAAACTGTGGAACCAACCTAGATATCCTTCAATAGCTGGATGGATAAAGAAAATGGAATATTACTAATATTATTAAAAGAAAACAATGGGATCTTACTCAGCAATAAAGGAGAATAAAATCATGGCACTTGCAGTAAATGGATGGAGTTGGAGAACATAATGCTAAGTGAAGTTAGCCAATCCCAAAAAACCAAATGCTGAATGTTTTCTCTGATATAAGGAGGCTGATTCATAATGGGGTTGGGAGGGGGAGAATGGGAAGATCAGATGAACTCTAGAGAGGGCAAAGGGGAAGGAGGTGAAGGGAGGGGACATGAGGGTAAAAAAGATGGTGGAATGAGATGGACATCATTACCCTAAGTACATGTATGAAGACACAAATGCTGTAAACATACTTGATATACAACCAGAGATATGAAAAATTGTGCTGTATATGTGTAATATGAATTGTAATGCATTCTGCTGTCACATATAACAAATTAGAATAAAACATTTAAAGAAATAGAAGAAAAAAAAAAAGAAATAATGCAGAGCAATCAATCCTGTGCCCACTGTCCAGCTTCCCCTAACAGGAACATCTTACAAAACCAGAGTATAATATTATAATATCAATATTGCATCAGTAAGGTTATATTATAGAGTATGTGCATCACTACAAATGATCCCTCTTGATATCTCCAATCCCTCTTTAATTCTTTGGCATACATTAGTAGAGTTTCTATTTCCATAATTTTATCATTTCAAGAGGGTTATGTAAATGAAATCATGTATAATTTATGTATATAACTTATTGTGACTGGATTTTTTTCAGTCAGAAAAGTTCTCTGGAGGTTCACCCAGGTCTAACATGATGTCATGGTTTATGTACCAATGTTTTGTTCCTTTTTATTGCTGAGTCGTAGTCCATGGCATGAACGTACCACAGTTTGTTACCCTTCATTTGCTGAAGGACATCTGGGTTGTTTCCAGGTTTTGACTGATACTAATAAAGCTGCTTAAATATTTTGGGATAGGTATCTGTGGGAACAGGTCTTTATTTCTCTGGCATAAATGCCTAGGAATTTCTAGGTCAAATGGCAATTACCTGGTGAGTGTTTTTAGAAACTGCTGAATCATTTGCCAGAGAGGCTATACACTTCACCTGCCACAAGCAGTGTGCCTTGGTGGGAAGGAGCATCTTTACCCTCCCTGCCCCCATCCTCTGGGGGTTCCTGTTTCAGTGTGTCTAAGAGGGAGGTTGAGGCTCCCTACTCAGCCTTTGCTGGTATGTGGTGGTGGGTCTCAGTGTTTTCCCTGGTGCTTGGCCAGAGAAGACCAGTATTTTCTAAGCATTTTCTGTCTGGCTATGCTGCCCCTTTCCTGGTCCTTTAGTTGGAAACAGTGAGCTTTTAGTCAGGGCTTTCCAGTACACATTGGCATTTTCTGGTAGTCAGTTTCTTCAGCTCCAAATTTGGGATATCTGAGCCAAAAACAGAGCTCAACAAATTTGCAATTAGTGAGTTGTGTGAGCTGTTCCTTAGTTTCTAGTGTCTCTGACCAATCAGCTTTCTTCTCTCCACTTTACAGACTTCTTAAGTGTGTTCCATATGTAATGATCAGGGGTTTTAGTTGTCATTAATGGGAAGAATAGGGAAAAGTTCAACTAAGCCATCTAGGCCATCTTCCCGGAAGTAGAAATTCTGTGCACATTACATTTTAATGGGCTTTTATCACCTGAGTAGAAAATATAGCACTTCATGCACAGGACCATAAAACACAATGAAAAGATTCATTTACTGAGTACCTTGGGGAAATAAGGGTCCACATGAGATCATTTCATATACCTCAAGCCTAATCTTTTGTAAGTCAAGTGGATTTAATTTTGTTTTAACGATTTTATAGGCAGGACATTCTACAACGGTATCCACTCTTCTCTGCCCTGGTTAAATGTGGAGGAAACCTTAATTTAGAAATGCGCTTTGGAGTCTTACACCTGCTTTTTATACTTTTTGCTGTCTCCTCATGTATTCTTCCTTTATTCCTCTTTTGTGGTCATATAACCTCCTGTTAGAAGCTGTCCCTCTTTATCCTCCTCTCCCATTTTTGATTTCCCTGCAGATGTAGGACACCAAGCTCACTGGAACTGTGTTTAAGAAAGGAAACTTGCATAAGAATGCTCATGGTGGGTGTTCATGGGCTCCCCATGTCTATGGAGCTGTGTGGGGCCTGTTCCCTTAGTCTGCCCATCTTCCGTACATCTGAGATTATGTATGCTGTGAAGCGAGGATGCGTAATTCAGTACTACTATGTTGTGTCTGCATTACAAATAAATGCAGGGCAATTAACAGGAGAAGGCAGATGGAAGAGCACTGAATTTGGCATACTTACCTTCCCTCTCAGCTCTTAGGAAGCTACTCAGCTCTACCTTCAAATCTACATTAACTCTAAGCTGCATCTCTGGGCTATAATTTATGCTGCCATCAGCTCTGGCTGGACAACTGCATGACCTTCCTGGTCTCCTTGCTCCAATTCTTGCCTCACTATAGAATTTTCTTGTGACAGCCAGAGTGATCTTTCTAAAACATGAATCACGTCACATTGCTTTTCTGTCTCAATTTTCTAGTGCTTTCCAGTGCCATAAAATTTTTAGTTCCTTTTTATGATCAACTATCCCTTACACAATAAACCCTGCAACCTGCCCCCCCTATCTCACTGAGACCACACTCCCTGTGAGTCACTGTGCCCCAGCACTCCAGCCGTCCTCCTCTTCTCTAATCCAGCTGCTTGTTTCCCTTGGCTGTTCCCTGTCTCTGACACTCTCCACCTACGGATGTCCACATGGCTGTCTTCTTCTGTCATTCAGATCTCTGTGCAAGTAATAACTCCAGGTAGGACTCTTCCCAATTGCTCCACTTAATGCATACACCCACTTGCTCCCCTTCAGGCACACAGATGTATCTCAATGACAACTTACATTTTGACAAGACTACAGGTACCAGAAATGTCCCTGTGTGTCCACTACACCCCCCTCTTCCACTGTTCCTCATCATGTAACCTCCATAAAAGGAGGGAGATTTCATGATCTTCTTCATTCCTGCCTAGTCCTGGAATATGGTAGGTCCTTAATGAATATCTATTCAATAAAAAAAAAAAACAAGTATGGTGTGTGATGGGTATTTTCTGGACCCCCCACCCCCATAGCAATGCTGAGGAGAGTCAGTTAAAACATCACTATCTTTTATATAGATGAGGAACGTAGGCTCAGAAAGTCTCCATGGTTTGTCTAAAACCACGGAGCTGGCAAATAATTAGCCTAAACTGGACACCAGATCTTTGACCTAAAGGCCAGTGCTTGCTACAGGGGGTCCCAAATCCTTGTCTGCAGACTGGCTGCCTCTGAATCCCCAGGGCACTTGTTAAAAACATAACCTGTCCTACTCCAACACAGGAGTTGCCTCACTGTGTTGTAAAAACAACTGCGCCAATGGGGAAATGAGGTTAGGGACCAGAGTTTTAGACTCACAATTACCAAGTTATTTTTCCTACAGGAATTTTAATAATAAAGGTGGTTTTTATAGCTGCAAGTGTATAGCTATAAAATTCAAATGTCCCTGAATTAAATCCAGCCCTTAATTAATTATGTTGCGCTTTTGCTGAAAAGTAATGGCCTTTTTTTTCCAGTCAGTAGAGGTGTCGTGGTTAGCACAGCCCACTTCTCCTATGTTCCTATGCCCTTCTCATGAGCCATTATTAGGACAAAGCATGAGATTGCTCAGGTATTTACAACCAACAAAACTCTATAATGAAACAAGGCTTCCAGTCAATCTCCTCATGCCTTTCAGAAAAATATTTGTATGTATTTTTCAGTTTCAATCTAGATCTACTACATCTGAACCTCA